CAGGCATCTTTCCTGGAGGACCCTCAATATCAAGACCAACATTCTCTACATACAGAAATCATAAAAACATTCGGAAGAGTTGGACCTAATGCTGAGCCCAGATTTAGAGACGAATGTAAGTTGCATCAGTGGGAAGATGCAGTCTTCCTTTTTCTGTCCCAAAGCTATTAGTATGCTGGTTATATATTCTTTTGTCTTTGCAAGAAGTTTGATGAAAACTCTTGTTTTCAGAGTTTGATATGACCCAGTATTTAAGACTTTGCTAATATAATTTTCACTTTACCTAACATTGGTGTGTATATAGAACACCAGCACATGATGATGAATGATTTCAGGGCTGGAGGGGAGTGGTCACTTTGCTGTAGAGCAAATTTGAAGTTTTCTTTTTTTTAATTACTTGACTTGTAAATTGCCTTCATCTCCCCCTCTCCCCCATTGCTTCACACCCTGCTGGCATATAAATTTCAAGTATTCCACACATCTTAAATGTAAGTGCATCCCAGATTAACAAAACAGCTTTTTTCCATGGACCTGAAATGTAAAGCACATAAAAGAGCAAAATCAATTGTTAGACTGTCTTAAAGATGCTTCTAAACAAAACATGAGGAGCTATCATGCCTCCCAACTGCAGGTGTCTAGTTTAACAGGCTAAACTCATTAGATAGGCTTCCTCTTTAGTCAGTGAAGATTTCTCACGACATGCAAATCTCTGTCACTAGCTTATCAACTGTATCTATAAAATAGAAGCATATTTTAGACAGCTTTAGCAGCAGGAGAGTAATAATGTTGCAAAATACTTTCTGTAAACTGTTACTATTTCAAAGGTACTCTGAGGTACCTTTTTATTTTAGATAGTGTTACAACAGTTTTATTTCAAATTTGAGTTTATCAGTGAAATCCGCAAGGGCAGTCCCATCAAAAGCCATTATTTGCAGTTCTTATTCCACACTGATGTGTGATGCTTCAGATGCCTGTGATTGCTTTCTGTAGACTTGCTTAGCATTAAACAGTTGCTAAGTGGCAATTTCAAATACTTATTCCAGTATTTACTTTTACAGTTGTTATTCCACACTTGCACAAGTTAGCCTTGGTCAACAACCAGCAGTCTGTGGATTCGAAGAGACTGGATATCGCTACCCACCTGTTTGAGGCCTACAGTGCTCTTTCCTGTTGCTGTATCTTTTTTTAGGGGAAGTTTACCTGTTAATTGGTGGAGGAGAAGATTAATACAGTTAAGCTGTTAATACTCTGGTGGGCGGGGGGAAGATTAATACTTGAGAAATAACTAAGTTTGTCTTTGAATGTGTGATGTAAAACATGATCTGCTCAGTGTAAAGAGGAGGTTTTCACAAAAAAAAAAAAAAAAAAAAAAAAAAAAAAAAAAAACAGGTGCCTACCAAAGCCGCTCTGTCACTCCCCTCCTCAGCAGGACAGAGGGGGAAGAACATAAGATGGAGAAAACCTTGTGGGTCAAGATAAAGGCAGTTTAATAAAGCAAAAGCAAAGGCTGTGCACAGAAGCAAAGGAAAATAAGCAGCAGACAATGTCCACCCACTTCCCGGGAAGCAGGGCTTCAATACGTATAGCAGTTGCTCCAGAAGACAAATGTTGTAATAACGAATGCCCCGCCCTCCTTCCTCCTTTCTCTTAGCTTTTATTACTGAGCTGACATCATATGGTATGGAATACCCCTTTGGTCAGTTTGGGTCACCTGTCCTGGCTATGTCCTCTCCCAAGATCTTCCCCACTCCTAGCCTACTGGGTGAGGCAGGGGGAATGTTGGAGAGACAGCCTTGACGCTGTGCGAGCACTGCTCAGCAGTAGCCAAAACACTGGTGTGTTATCATCACCTTTTCTAGCTACCAATACAAAGCACAGCACTATGAGGGCTGCTATGGGGAAAATTAACTCCGTCTCAGCCAGACCCAATACAGTGGAACGGATAGATACTTTAAAAAAAAAAAAAAAAAGAAAGCTAGAAAAACAAAGCCCTTGATCTTAACCAGTAAATTAAGGAAAAAATATGAAAAGAATAGTATGGAGGTATGAAATATATGGAGTTAAATATGTTTAAGATCTTTTTTCTTTTTTATTAGCCATGAAGTGCCAAATGCTGCTCTGTTTTCTTGGGTTTTGCTGCTGTAACTTGTCCCTGTGTTCAGTAAAATAACCTTATCAGAATAGAGAAAAAAAAATTGTATAATTTCAGAAGACAATCCTTATAATACCTTAACAACCTGGTTTTTAGTTATTTCAGAGGATTTAATGGTCAATCACTTTTTACCAGGACTTAAGTGTTTACGAACTGACATGGAACATCTCTCGCCAGAACATGAGGTGAGCAGCTATGTTTACTAACTGAGTACGAGATGCAGGTGGCAGTAAAAGTTGAAATGTAATGGTATTTAAAACTAAAAATTAAGGAGAGCTACTCATAAGTGGTATCAAAACATAGCATTGAGGGTTTTTTTGGTAAGGAATAGGTCACGTGATTTAAAAAACAGTAAAATCTTTTACAATGTATTTCTAAGCCAAGGACCTCTGCAGAGAAATATTCAACTGTCAGAAATGGATGTAGAAACATAGACCTTTGTAGACTGAAGAAAAAGGAAATGGTTTTTACCATCCGTTTCTTCATCAAAACAAGGATACTCTAAAATCAATGGCCACAATATATCCAAGGAAATGCAGATGAAAATTGGTGGAGTGCAGGAGAGAAATGAGGGGCAAGGATGAGGAAAGTATAGTCCTGAAATACATGGGATGCACTTCATATCTGGAGTACTGTGTCCAGTTCTGGGCTCCCCAGTACAGAAGCATGGACCTACTGGAGAGAGTCCAGCGAAGGGCCATGAAGATGATAATGGAACTGGAGCATCTCTCATAGGAGGAGAGGCTGAGAGAGCTCGGACTGAAGAAGGATGTGGCTCAGGGGGGGGTCTTACCAGTGTGAATAAATACCTGAAGAGAAGGCTGCAAAGAGGATGGAGCCAGGCTGTTCTCAGTGGTGCCCAGTGACAGGCCCAGAGGCAGTGGGCACAAACTGAAACACAGGAGGTTCCCTCTGAACATCAGGAGATACTTTTTCTACTGTGAGGGTGACTGAGTACTGGCACAGGTTGCCCAGAGAGGTTGTGGAGTCTCCATCCAGGGAGATACTCAGAAGCCATCTGGACATGGTCCTGGGCAACTGGCTGCAGGTGGCCCTGCTTGAGCAGAGGGTTGGACCAGATGACCTCCAGAGGTCCCTGCCGAGCTCAATCATTCTGTGATTCTGTGAATTGTAAAAAGCAGATTATAATAAGCAGACAGGACAACATGGGAGCTAACAAGATCTTCTCTGGTAGAAGGAGCTTACAGAAAGTAGCAAAAGAGAAGAGTTAGCAGGAGAAGCTGACTTGAGAAACTTTAAAATCTTGGCCATATGTCTATGCACTTCTTTGTAAATACTTGAAGAGGATGAACACTAACAGAGATTGAAACATATAGATATTAAGTCAGTAGCTGAAAACAAGAGACAGTTTAGTTGCATGTTGGGAAAATCTTGATAGTATGAACATTTCAAGTGATGGAGGAAAAGATTTAATCAAAATGTACAAAGGAACATCTTTCTGGTTTTTGAAGGGTAATACTGCACTTTCATGGATTACTTTGTACTTGAGAAAAGTAATTACTTTTCCTTATGTTTGCCAAAGTGACTTAATTGAGACGACTATATTCTAGGAGTTCTAAGTTCTTATACTTGGTAATAAAGTCCCTTCTTCCAGTTATATTTTCAGTCTAATAGCCTGTAGTCTTATTCTTTTGTTTTCTGTATATTATTATATTATTTTATATAATTTACAATATGTGGAACTGGAGGTGAATTAATTTGAGCAACTTTCAGACCTAAAAGGAAAGAATCTGACTTCAGAGGACTGAGTCAGAAGGGACAGTACTGACCTGAGCATCAGTCAAAGGCAACAGAATTGTACTTCCTTACCACAGGCAGCACTGGAGGAGATCTGGCATTGTTGATACTCTGTATTCAGAGTGAGCTGGGAGATATATTGTGTTTTGGGAAGTCTAAGAATATATCTGAAAGCTGCAGTAGGCAAAAGTTGGATTTAGTTTAATTTTCTTTGTTCTATCATATACGCTAATGGGATAACTGATACAAATACTAATACTTTAATTTTGTATAGCAGTTAGTGCAACATACTGAAGGACATAGTCAGTTCAAAAGATGCCCTGAATTAGAACAGAAGAGCTTATTTGATTGACTTTGAGTCTTGTAGCCAGAGAAAGAACTGAGGGCTTAAATAGGATTAAAAATAAATAAATAAATAAAGACTGCTCTCAATCCTTCTTCACCACCGTCTGCATTGCATCACTGTGATTAATTGTCTTCAGGCATGATGCCAAGTGCTTTATTTTTTTAGCCAGAGAGAAACATAAATTTAAAAATATTTACTCCTGGTCCAGTGAGTTAGAAAACTCATTACAGCTTTTACAGTAGAAATGGAAATCCGGTGCTTACTCAGTTCCTTGCTGCAACAGGATGTTTGTAGGCACCCATGATAGAGACCTCTGAGGCCCAGTTAGTTCTGGTGTCTGTCTTTCAAGCCTTCTGTCTTAAAATTATGTTTTCTGAAGTAAATGTAATTTACTGTTTCAAATAGTTAGACATTTGCATAAACAGAATTAACCCTTTTCTCATTATTTTGGTCACTGTGGTGCTATTCATGATTCAAATGGCAAATCAGTTACAAAACCACATTTTCTCATTCACAGAGCCTTAGCTCTTGTGGCTTTAACATCAGTACAGAGTTTATGCTCATCTTGGAAATGTAACATTTGTGGAATTGGCTTCTGATCCTGTCAGGCAGCGTTTACCACTTACTCCTCATACTTGCTTTCCTTTCATTCATATAAAAAAAGTGCAATTTGGGCATTTAAGCCAGTCTCTCATCTCTAAAATAAACATTTCACCTTGTGCAGACATTCCAGATACTTTGCCAGCATCTCTAATTCCATGTCAAGGCCCTTCTTCCTCCTTCTCCACTTGCCTTCTATTTCTTTTCAAAATAATTGGATTTTGAGTTGCATGATAGTGACATATAATCAGTACTTGATAAAAATACTTAGTCCATCTGCAGTATTGTTTATAATACTTAAGCACACGTTAGGTCTCTTAAACGTCTCTCTATTTAGAGTTACATCTCTAAAATACCTCTCTTAAAGGAGGCCTACATGATTTCATAGTCAGTCCTATGACCAAACAAAGAGAACCCAAGGGAGTAAGTGTAAGCAGTATGTGCAATATCATAATGTAAAATTGCCATATGATACTATATTTATACCTTTTCTCTGTTTCACCCTGAACTTTAAGACAAATTAATTTGGGGAAGAGGGAAGAATTGCTCCAAGAATTATGCAGCCTTCCTGGAAGGAGCTGTGCAATGGATGAGGGCTCCATCCCAGTATTCAAATGATTCTGAGTCCTTGCTGAATTATTCTTCCCCTTGATCAAGACTTCATATTGTTGATATTTGGAACATCTAGATTCAGATAGATGTACAAAAATGTAGAAGTGCTCCAATACACAGGTAGAAATGCTAAGTAACAAAAATTTGGCTGCTGTACTTAGAAATTCCAGTTTTCTTTTGATGCAGAAAGAAAAGCTTGCTTTTTCACCGCAATTCTGAATGCATTTCTCTTGTACCTCTGTCCTCTTGAGTTTAAGTACTTGCATAATGTTTTATGCAAATGAAGGACAGCAAATTTAGCAGTAAGAGTTGTAGTCCTGTTGGACTCGTCCGGAGGTTTGAATGCTGCTTTGTGAAACATTAAAGGGTATATAACACCTGCTACCCAAACTGTTTCAAATGTTGAAGTAATACTTTTGGAGAAATAGAGTGAACAGTGGCACAGATCTGCACACTGGGCCACATCTTATCAGTGTAATAAATGGTTTCAAAGGATATTTTGTGCTGCAGCTGTCTAATAGGGATTTGACAGAAACCAGCTTTTTTTATGTATATAAATACACTTTAAAATAGTTATCACTTGGTAGTAACCGTTAGTGACTGGTCTGTATTTTAGAGATTTAAATTAGTTTTTTTCTTTATTGTATATATTCAGGGTTTGGTAAGACACTACTAATTTTAGTTGCTTGTAGCTTTGAGATTTAAGTTTAGTGTCTCAAAGAAAGTGCTCTGAGCTGTGAGCAGAGAAAGTTTCCATTTATGCAGTGGGTACATGTATATGTTTATAGTTTCACACTCTGCATTGCAACTAAGTGTTTCAAATGCTTTTGTCCTAATGTGTTAAAATAGTACTGTTGTGGGCAGGGCAGGGACTTATATACCTGTCCATTGAATTGTATGATTTCTTTCAAAGCCTGCTATTGGGAAACATTCCTTTGTTTTTGGTACGCTGGAGAAATGTAAAATGTCGAGGGGGGTGTGTTTTTAGTCTTAAATATTCTGCAGAAACCCTTAACTCTGCAATTGCTTAAGTAAAGAAAAAAAGCCTTGATTCATAGAAACCCTGGAAGACACCAGTGAAATGATGCCAAGTTTGCTTTAGCACTTTGTTTCCATTAAGATGTTGTCTCAGGATGCCATTGCACTTTTTTCTTTTCTTTCCTTGCTTTTTCTTTCAAGCATAATGTTGGTAAAGATATGAATTTTAAAAGGTACTTGAAAACTCTCTAAAGGGAAATAGAGGGAGGATTAATGTATGTCAAAGGTAATTGCTAATAAATAAAAGTATTGTTTGAACAAAGGAAGATAAGGTGGTGTGTCACAGAAGTGAGTTTGCTTTAGCTCTATTTTAAAAAGCCAGGGGGAGCAGAAAGGAGTCTTGAACTCTTGTAACTATTTCAAAAATATTTTCTTCCTTAAAGTATTTTGAATGGTTTTGTTGTTTCTAGCCACAAGGCATTATCAGATAGCTGGAATTTAAATGCACTTGAAAAACAGAGAAACTTTTTAAACAGTTCTGGTAATGTCAGAATTAGTTGCAGAGCAGATTTCGTATGAAGTGTTAATGCAAAAGAAAAAATGTCATGTATATCTCTTCCTTATGTGTCTTAGGTTATTTTAAGCTCCATGATAAAAGAGTGTGAACAGAAAGTGGAAAACAAGACCGTCCAAGAACCGCAGGGGTAAGACTTCTACTTCTCTTTTTCTGTGCCTCCAGATTAATGTTCTGCAGAGTCTATTCCATAACAGTGTCCAAGGCTTGTGACCAGAAATCCCGCACTGACATATTCTGTATTTGAAAGAAGATTTTAGGAACTTTAATTCAGTTTGTGGTTGTTTTTGTCTCCAGTGTAAAACACAGGACAACACATTTTTATTTGTATCATGGGAAAACAAGAATGTCATTGCTATGTTACTTTCTTCTTTATTTTTTATCCATTTAAAGCAGTAATTGAATTTCTGTCCTGAATCTGAGAAAGCAGGGAGTGCTTGGCCTAAGTGCCTGGAGCAACACATGTGGCACGCACCTTGCAATCCTCTTTCACGGGGGTGGCCTGCAGGCTGAAGGAATTGTTCTGGTCATGGTAATAACCTGCTCCAGGCTGCTGTCTTTGCTTGCATGTGACTACTGCACACGAGAACAGTTTTTCCAGTGTATAAACCCACCTACCTGTGTGAATACACTGTTTAGTAAATATGTTGGCTTTAGGAAAACGCCACCTATGTTGCACTTCAGTAAAACACCCATTCTACAAATGCACAGTAAACCCAGCTCTCCAGTGAGGCATCAGACACACGGTGTATATGCATCAATTCGCCTCAGGTGGCAGAGGTGGTATCCTATGTGTGTGTGTCTCTCCTGATAACAAAAGAAGCTAACAGACCCACAAATTTGGAAAGCTAAGCATCATTATGATGAGGTGTACGTGTTCTTTTGCCTGCTTGTTGCCTGGAATGGCATACCAGCAGGTAACTTCTCATGGATTATTTTATAACTTAATAAATCCTTAGCAGTGTTGCCAGGAAGAGTTTGAGAAGAAACAGTAGGTATCTGAAAAAGAGAAACTGTCCTCAGTCCTGATACCTTGCCATAAGAATCAAGACAATTACTGAAACTTGTTTATGTCATGCTTCCATATCTGTAACAAATTGATAGAATTTACTTCTTGAAAGGGCTCAGGTGAAATCCTGGAAGCAACTGGTAGAGAACAACTGAAATAGGAAAGGTGTACAAGAGTTTAACAGAAGAGACATGGTGTGGAAAAAGAGTCAGTCTCTCATGCACCAAATAAAATATCTCAGGCTTTACTAGTGGTAATTAGCCTGTTTACTGGTGTAGTTGATAATTAATGGAGTGTGGTAAGAACTGAATCCGTTTGAGACATGAGCATCAGGTCAACTCTTAAAGGTGTACTAGCAATGAACTTTAGACTTTGGAAGTGAAATAATTTTAAGACTAAAAATGTCCAGGTTCTACAACAAATCACATCCATAGTGTATCTGTTCTAATAAGGTAGTTGGTTCTGTCTAGTTATATAGAAGTCCTGTCTAAGGGAGAAGAAATACAAAGCCTTTAAGATCTGAAGAATGCACTGTTGGTCACCTTCTTTCCTCTTTTCCTTTTCATGTGGCAGTATTACGAAGTAGGGACTGTACTGACTAAGTGTATTCCAGTTGAATGGCGATTTTCACGATGGAATAGGTATTTCATATTAGTTATTCACAGAATAAGAACAGGTTTATAGGAATTAATCACTCCACGGGCATATTCCTTGCTTGCAACATAAATAGCCAGTCAGTCAGGAACCAAAAAATGCATGTGTTCATGCTGCTGTTTCTTTCCCAGGGCTTCACTATGTTACGTCTTCAAGCTTTGTACTTTTGCCCTTATCCTTTCTGCCTTCTCTTAAATGGAGCTTTCTAGCATGCATACCTGTGTGTGTCCCCCAATAGCCATACTCTGAATGCCCATCCCCTTCCTCTATCCTTCAGATTCTTCAGCAGTTGTGTATTAGCTTTTTATTTTTAAAGAATGGTGAATGCTTAGCTTGCCTTCAGCTATATTAAAGGTTGGCACTTAAGCCAGCTATTTCCTTAGAAAACAACCTACCAGTAATGATTCCTGGCAAGATAGAAACTTGCTGGTTGCCCCATTAGACCCATTCTACTTTTTGCAAGTAAATATTAGTTTTATCAAGGTCTTCCCTGTACTATGTACCTTACGTAGTAGATACCCGATAGGTAATTGTGATAAGGCAGAATTAACAGCCAAACTCTTTGCAGATCTGATGCCAAGCAATTGCTGTAGACTTTCACCAACCAACCTGTGCAAGGACATCCCTCCACATAAGCAATGATTTAGTATTTTGACTAACAAGTTGCTTCATTAGAATAGAATCAGTTGCATACATGGGCATCTATTACTTCACAAATATTTCCCCTGCCTGGGTTTTATGGGCTCTTTTTTTTTTTTTTTAATCTACAGACTAATCAATATTATATTTTCATTTTAATTCTTTGTGCAATAAAAAAGCCACGACCTCAGATTTTGGCTATGTAAAGAAAAAAAAAAGCAGTATAAGACAAGACTTTTATGTCTGAGAAACATTTTTTGAAGCAAATTGATTTATCACTTCTTGAGCAACTTCTTGACAGCCTTTTAGGAGAGATCATTAGAAAATAGGAAATTGATTCCTTCTCAGGCAAACATATTGTGAAAGAATTTTTTTTCTCTCCCAGAATGCAGCAAATGTACGCAATATCAAACTGGTTTCTTTAAAGAACGCCATTAACCTTAACCTGAAGGTTTTTTATCTTACCTGCATTAACTGAACTGTGAAACCTAAGGTTATGAAACAAAATCCCTTGGCTAGCTCTTCCTAGTTCTCAAGTGGTAGTCTTCAGTTGGACGTGATTTTTATTTTTTTTAAACGTGTGCTTTTGCCTCTCTCAAATATTTTAACCTGTTTCGTTCATCAAAGCTGTTCTCTGCATGGCTAGAGTTTGAGTGATCAACTTTTATTTCATGTAGGGTTTAGACTTACCTTGCTTTAGCTTATATCAGTGCGGACATGTTAACCTAAATGTAAGAGGTCTGTATTACTTAAAATCCCTCTTATGAAAATATTTTGAAATCACAGTTAGTCCTATTAAGCCATTGCAGAAACAGATAAATGCAAATATGGTACAACATCCAGTGTATTTTCTTTTAGAATGCAACTGCTGAAAACTGTAAGATCTGAAAAGGATAAGTCTTCGCAATGTGTTGCTTCATTCTTTAATTAGCCATCCCCTTTCTTATTCAAAATCAGGCTATGGTTGCTGTCTTATACTGTACAAAATTAACACAAAATATTTTACCACTGAAGAAATGACCTTTTCACATACATGAATATCTCCTTTTTCTTGCTAAGCCCTTGCCAATTTCAGTTCCTAATTTCGGTGTTAAATATATATTTGACGAAGGATTTAAATGCAACTAGGAGATAAATTACTGATTTTTGTTAACATGAGAATGCATGCACAAACATAAAACTGGATGCAAAAGCAATCATAAGATGCTGTTGGTTATCTTGTCTCTGCCCCTTACTGTTAGAAAAGGTTGGTCAAATAATACGGGGTCACAGAAATAGTTTTTTTTAAAAAAAAGATTAAACTTTGTCTTCTTAAATATTGGATAGCCACTTTTGTTAAACATTTTCTTTAGCAATTAACAAGGTATTTCAATCTTGGGTAACAACTTATGTTACAAACTGATTTTTATAAGATGTCCAGCATGAATGTTTGTATTGGCCTAAAGCTTCCCCATAAAACAGGCAGAACTCCATGTAGCATGTAATTCATCTAGACACTGGTCAAAAGTTTGATGTTTAGACATTATTTTTGTTTGTGGGTTTGTTTGTTGGTGCTGCTTTTTTTAAAATAATGAGTAAATGCAAGGACTTTTCTATAGGACTACTTGTTTCAAACAAGATATGTTATTGTCTTGTTGGTTTCGCTGATTATTTTTTTTTAAAGACATGAGACTCAAATTATTTGATTTCATATTGCTTTTATTATTATGTTTAGATGTTCAATTTGTATAGTAATTGAAGTACTTTTGGGGCATACTTAAACTTTTAAGTGTTGTGGATCATCTTTCTATTTACAGTAACATAATATTAGAAATCATGAACTTCTAGACACTCCAGTTCTTAATTTTTAATTTTTAACATCAGATGGTTGATATCCCCCAAAACTGTTTTGGAAGTCAAGTGAACATTTTCTGGTCTTCCTCAAACTTATTCAGGATCATTAGAATAATGGCAGCACCGTTTGCTTAAAACTACAGGTTTTTCACCAGTTGCTAGGCTTTCTTTTCTGAAATGAGCAATTTTATTTTCTTAATGTTGCTAATGCTTGGAACGTACTATATTTCTCAAATCCTTTTCCCTAGTTACACACAACTCCAGGATACATCATAGGCTGGAATAGCTTCTTGTTGTTAACCAGCTGATAGCGAGTATAAGCTGTTACTTACATAATTTATATGCCCTTGCTTTATCATGAAATCAAGGGAAATTGCACAAGAAATCCATCTTACGGTAGTAGTAACTTACCTGCTAAGTTTTATCAACTGAAAATATGCGATTCCCTAGTTGACTGTAGATGTTTAATCAAGCCAAAGATGTCTGGCTATGTGATTGTGCCTGAAAGAAACATTTCACTTTAAAAGTTTATAAATCATTTCAAAACAGCTATATATCTTCATCACTGGCTGCTAAATAGAATAAAAATATTATCATTTTTAAAATACCAATTTTAATCAGGTGTTGTCTAAAAAGAGATATAACCTGAGAACGATTTTCAAAATTTTAAACTTTACTAAAAATTCAGACATCATATTTTCAATAAAATGATGCTTAAACACTAAATATTAGATAATGAGGAACTTTACAGAGCTTTCAGAACATACCAACTAATAATAAGATTTAAAATGAGATGATTGAATTGAGTAACCTGTTCCATTAATAGGAGATGTACTGAAAAAAATACCAAAGAGTATGTTTTGTGATACTCTTAGGTACGCTATGTGAGGCACACCTAAAGCCCCTTCAAGGATCTAGGTCCATTAGGCACAGTGGAAACGCAGAAGGCAGGGAGTCACTTCAGCTTAAAAAGTGTAAGGGATGGGGCATACATTTGAGGGGATTTAGTTATGATGCAAGTAAGGTATCTGTAAATCCACAGTACAGCTTTAGCGAGAAGCTTCCCTTTTGTTTTTTCAAGTACTCTGTTTAAAAAGAACCAGAATTTGTTACCACTAAGCACCTTTCTTTGTGGTATGACATGGGAAAAAATACTGAATGCATCCCTGCTACCTTTGAAGAAATAATTCAAATTCCGTTGAAGCAATTTGGAGTTAACTTTAACTCGACCTGCCTTGATGCAAAAGTGTCTTAACAGAACTTTTTATAACCGTGCAGACTGAAAAGTCAGTTCCTGGAAGCTGGCCTGTGCCAGTAAGATAGATCTTGTGATCTTAGGTATAATTTTGAAATGCAGAGTCCATGCTGAGCTCACAAGTGAGAATTTCACTGATAGTGTTTTGTAATATTGGCCCTGTCTAATGTTGAAAAATGTTTGCCATTTTAACTAGAAATATAGGAAGTATGGAATATTTATTAATACTCCTGCTCTCATACATTTGCCTTGTTGCACTCTGTCTAGAGACAGATTACTCCTACTATGCTAAACAGTTACATATATCTGAAGTTGAGCTCACTGATATGTTGTAAATTAAAACAAAAAAAAAATCAGTTAATTTTGCAGCATTGGGATAATTTCTTAACACGTTGTTCGAAGATGTTTGTCATGGTTTAACCTCAGTCGGCAACTGAGCACCACACAGCCGCTCGCTCATTTGCGCACGCACACACCCACACACACCCACAGTGGGATGGGGGAGAGAATTGGAAGAGCACAAGTGAGAAAAACTCATGGGTTGAGATAAAAACAGTTTAATAATTGAAATAAAATAAAATAGTAATAATAATAATAATAATAGAATATACAAAATAAGCGATGCACAATGCAATTGCTCACCACCCACCAACCGATGCCCAGCCCAAGCAGCAGTCACTGCCCTCGGCCAACTCCCCCCAGTTTATGTACTGAGCATGACGAGCATGGGGAGCTGAAAAGTCCTTGACTAGTGTAAGCACTACATGGCAACAACTAAAACATGGGTGTGTTATCAACAATATTCTCATTCTAAATCCAAAACACAGCACTGTACCAGCTACTAGGAAAGAAATTAACTCTATCCCTGCCGAAACCAGGACAATGTTGTAGCATCTTGTAGGTTCAGCATTGATTGGGTTGCTCCTTCTAGTCGAGTTTGTGGGAAAATTGTGGACTCTCCGTTGTCTTCTCTAGTACGTATGAAGTAGGAACACTCAAGCAAAGGTAATAGGAGTCACATTCACAACAACTAGAAGGAGAAAGCTCTTTACCCAGCGAGGGGTGGACCTAGTAGGATTCAGTGCCCCAGGTTGGGGTTTACAAGAAATTTACAAGGGGATCAAGGGAAAGCTGAACAAATAATAGAAAGTAAAGATTCATTGGGAGTTACTAGATTGACAGTCCACACCAATTTTAAACTCTGCTCAGGTGGAAATATTTGGAAAATAAGAGGGTTGGAAATTAAGGAGAGAGGTCGCTGTTTTGTACTTACCTTGCTGCTGCTCTTCCCTACATGTCTGCTAATGGTCATTGTTGGAGGCAGGGTACTTGGGCTAGTTAGATCCTTGGTCTGAACCAGTACCGTTGTTCTTATATTAAATAAACAAGGACTGACATTTCCAGTGAGAAGGTAAATTCGATCTTTCACAGAGGTATTTGTCACTAGAGCAATTGCCAAATAGCTAACGAATGCTAATGTGGTGACTTCTAAAGGTAGTAAAAACTAGTGCGCACAAAAATATTTTGCAACTTTTCACTAGGACTGTGAGGGCACGATAATTCATTTAACAGTGTGTATTTGGGCTTGGTGGTGATGGTTTTTCAGTTCTTCTTGATGGACTGGTCTTTTGTGATCTTGAAACCTCTAAAATGCAAAGACAATTCAGTTGCTTATTAAATAACAGCACAGTGTTCTTTTTTTCTTTGTAGCCTTATGTCACTACATTTTTTACTTTCCTAGCTCAATGTCGATTGCAGCGAGCCTTGTGAGTGAAGATACAAAGACCAAGTTTTTGAACAAAATGGGCCAGCTGACTACATCAGGTGCAATGTTGGCTAATGTGTTTCAGAGGAAGAAGTAAGATGGGAAAAGGAACTCCCAGCTAACACTAAGATGGACCTCACAGAGACTGGTTCCTGTACTTGAAGTACTTGCCTTTTAATTTCTTCTGTCTTATGTTCTTGTAGTATAATTTTATTCTAACCTCCAAAGATATTTGCACTGCTTTTGAATATCGCTGTGTATCTGTTAATTTTGGGTTAACTGTGGTTGATATAAAACTGAAATCATAGTCTGTACCAAGTCCCTGTTCTGTGTTCTTGTCTTTCCAGCATAATTTTTTTTTATATAGTGGAAGGGGGTTTTTTTATTTTCTGACAGGATATCAGCAAATATCTGTATTATACATGGAGCTATTATGATGGTACTTAAAATAATGTAAATTTGAAGTCATTGTCATGAAGTAATAAAAGTGGAGATTACTTATGTATTTAAATTATGAAAGAGTAATGCAGATTTTTTATTATGTTTCTAAAAAGAAGAGGAAGAGCCACCAGCATTTGTCTGTGCTTCTAGGGTTGTTTTTGTAAGTATTGTGCATCTTGAATCCAGAGGAATTGCAGTATCTAATGTATGAGACTCTTGCTGCACTGCATCAGTCTGCAAGGAATGCTCATGTTTCAGCTGCTTTATGCTGACATTGTAAATGCTGTACAAAGTCCTTCAGATAAAATTCTCGCATCTGCTGTGGTTTTTTGAGGGATGTTTTCTTCCGTTGGGGTTTTTGTTTTATTTTAAAGCACTTTAACAACCAGTCTACGCATCCAGAGGCACATCCACTAAGTAAAGGAAAAACATGATAAATTAATAAATGTTAACATATGTATAAGCTACTACACAGGGGTCCCAGTACAGTTCTGCAGGCAGAGGAACCTTATGCAGGAGAAAGAGTGCTTTCATCTTGCACTCAGTGTGCAGTTCTGTGTACTGTGAAAGCTAAAATTAAGGTATTTTGTTGTTTAGATTGAATCTCAGTTCAAATTTAATTTCAGAGTATTTGAAATTATGTTAAGAGAGTTTGACATGCAGTTTCTTTAAAATGTTAAGTAGACTGCATACATACTTTATAAAACTGGCATTGCAAGGAGTATCTTCAACAACTACCAAATATTTTGGTTAGCAAGGAAGCATTAACAACTAAATTCTTTTATTCTTATACAGCACTTTTTTTTCCCTTCTTTATGTCAGTGTAAGCTTCTGAAAGTAAAACTCAAGTGCATGCATGAACTGGTATGAGGTAGCAAAATATAAAAGCTCAGGCATTCTCTGACACGGTACCATTCAGTTGGAAGTATTAACATCTTTGAGGACAGGGGAAGCAAAAGGAGTGAGGGAGGAAAGTATTCACTTCTGAAAGAATATGGATGGAGTAGCACTTCAGGTATTGCCCTTAGACGGAAATACTGGAGATAATTTGAGGCTTCTAACTGCTTCGTGTCTGTGCCTGTTGGCTCTGCATATACAGTTGCCTGCCATGTTTGTGTTGTGACAGGGCCTGCTGCACACTCGCACACTGTCGGTCCCTTCACACTGCACTGATGAAACATTTTTCTTGAGATTACAGACAGCTCCATGCCTTCGTGTTGCTTGTTACCATGAAAGTATACTTTTAGCAGACTGACTGTGAAACGGAGACATTCCTGAGGAATGGGAAGTGGGTGACATTCCTCTCTATTGTTCTGTTGTCAATAAAAAGTTTTGTATACCTGCCTTGTCTTGTTACTTCTAGTCTTTTCCAAAAAAGATTATCGCATCAAAACAGCTGTTACAGGAGAGAGGTCTGATGCGCAGAAATTCTTTAGCCTTAACTTTTTTTACATAGCAGGTGGTAGACTGAACTTGCTAAATTTCCTCTCTCTATGTGCCTGTATCACTCTGGCTTCTAGTCATGTGGCTTTATTGCCATTTTCATGCAGGGTCTCCTCCTGTCCTGTGTCACACCTGTGCCCCCCCCCCCCCCCCCCCCCTTGTATGTCTGTTCCAGTAGTTGCAGTGCCAGAGATAGCTCCATAGCTGTGAGACCAAAATGACTTCTTTATGGTTAAACTTCCACTTTCCAAAGCAGGGCAGCTGCCTGTGAGAGTGGCTCCTAGCCCACACTGAACTTCAGCCAGTGTTTGGAAACCTGCTAATCGGCACAAGCCAAAAAACTTGACAGCAATTTAACTATGGATAATCGTACTCTTGATAATTGAGACTCTTTAGTTTGATAGTGTAAATGTAGCATCTTTGCCCAGCTAGGTACAGGCTCTCCAGCCCCTTGCAAAGTTTAGCTTTTGCTAGTCAGCATTTTACTTCATACCGGTTGATCCAAGGAGGAATTTGAGTGAGAATCCCAGGAAGACCGGCACAGTAACTACTGAGGTTAAAAAAACTCTGTGTAGGCAACAAACCTTATGCAGGTTGTCTTCAGGAGTTTTGCCTCCTAAATTTCAGGTCTCTGTTAGTATATGTTGGTTGAGGGAGTTTTTTGAAGTGTTTATTAGTTTACCAGATATTGACAGATTTTCAAGAAGATGGCAAGAAGTTGTTCTGTGTGGGTTTGGGGGATGTTTTGGGTTTTTTTTTCTTTTTCCTCCTATCTATGGCACTGTAGCATTCAGGATTGGGAAAGAAAAGAGGGAAGTCTTTAAAGAAAAGAATTTCCGGAATATTTTAAATTAACTTTTTTTTCTTCCTGTTATTATGCAAAACAAGTTAAGTGAACCTTTTGGGAGAAAATGCTTCATTAAAAGACGACAGTTGGATATCCAGCATGGAAAGCAATTAATCCCCAAAGGGTTATCTTCAATTGCTTATGACTTTGCCTAAGTAAGGATTCTGTAAAAAAACAAAAGTGTTGGCTTTCTTAGTTCTGCTTGAACTTCTACAACTTGTTGGCTTTAAACAGGGGATGTGTTGAAGGTCTCTTGCTGCCCCTAGTGAAATTTCAGAATCTTAGTATCTTTCTTTGAAGGATTGACTCTTGTGCTCTGTAGCGAAGGTGATCAGTGGGCTGAAGGTACATGGCTGCCTGAATGAGTGTTCATGATCTAAATGTGTTTTCTGTAGATTAAACGTAAGGCTGACATGTTATGCATATAGTTTGTTCGAAAGAGACTGTTTTCTAAAACTATAAATGAGGCAAATTACTCTTTTCCTGTCTTCTAATCAAGGTGAATAAAGGGAGCTCCTTAAGAAAAGCTGCACATTCTTCTTCTGTCAGTCTCCTCCCACTCCCCTTTCACACCAGGAAGAGAAAAAAACACTGCTATTGCTGTACGTAAAAGTATGTTCTGGTTAGGAGAAGTAAAAGCAGTATTTGAATGGATTCAGGGCTAGAGAAACTGAGGGAGCTGATGTTTGCAAATTAAAATGTTACGATTGAAAGATAAAAATTGTCCATGAAAAAAATCTGTTGTGAAGAACAAGGAGGAGTTTTTGTAATATATTGTGGAAATTCATTGCTACATATGGATGATAAGATGATTCAAAACGGTGCAGAAAACGCAGAAGTGTGGAATATTTCTGTTCTCTCTGTTACGACAGCGTTAATGGCATTTTTCTGTTCCAGGAGTGAGTGGGTCTATGTTTTAGTGCAGTTTCTAAAGGTGGGTATCATGCATTCAAAGTGTTTTAAGTAATTTCCCTTGTGAAACTTACTGATGTTGATATTTAAGTAAACCGCAAAGTGCCAGCAAAGCTTCACGGAGCGGGAAATCATTAATATGCTGATACAGCAAGCTGATGGGCATGGCATTGATCCTAGGTAGAATCACAGAAGTTCTTGCCTTAGATGTAAATGCTGATGAATTACAGGATTGCAGTATGGTGCCAGGCAACAAGACCTCAAGGAAACTGGTTTGGTGGTTTACTGAGTGCGTTTGGCTAACGTTTCTAGCAAACGCATTCTGATAATGTAGCTAGTTTGTTTTAGACTATAAAATTGGTCAAAGGCATGGAGGAGTGCCGTTGTTGAATAATAGGCTAATCAGGTCCTGGATGCTAGTACTGTATGCTAATGTATCATGTGTTAACTAATCTCGATGAGTAACCATGAATGAGTAATCGTTTTCCAGAGAAGCTGTTTCTAAAGTGTTCTGCCTTCAGGTTTAACGCTGGTCAGGTTTCATCCTTATAGGTAAGCCGTAAGAAAAGATGATTCTGGCTGTAGAGTTTGTAACAGGCAAGTCGGTGGTAAACAGCCTGTATCTTTGGAGGCATCTGCACTACACGCTGAGCTTGAACTTCCATCATACTTCCAATGGAGTGAAAGACTTCCTTAGACTGAAGGTTTCTAGTTCCTAGAAACTTTGAGCATGTGCAGTTTTACTGTGGAAGTCAGTGACTTGAAAAGTTGACTCGTGAGTTGGCATAAAGGGCCAACACCGTGACAGTGGTCTGTCTTGTTCCTTTCCCAGCGCTGGTATCTCATGTGCTCCTCGCCGCGTCCCTCGTTCACCCTATTTCAGGCTGGTCTCTACCCTAACCTCCGACTTTTCTGTCCCACAGAGGCAGGTATCTTTTTACTCTACCATTTAAATACTGTGTGCATGCAAATAGGGTTGTTTGCAGTGTATTTGAACATTGCCATTCCCAAAATTATTGTGATTGTGGTCTTGTGCTGCTGCTCTTTGCCGTGCACTTTAATGGGGATTTTTCCCATTCCCCAAAACCTGAGAAACCTCCAGCTTCAGTTGCAGCTGAGGTGGAGGCAGTATGATGGAGTCCTGCTG